CTGCAAAAAAATAAATTAAAAGTTTTAATAATAAATCAACTATACAAAAGATTAAAAACATTAGTAACTCATCAATTTACAATTAGATCAATTATACAATTTATCCCTGTAATAGACTTTTTTTAGATTATGAGAACAAAAAATTAATTTTAAGGCTAATTCACAAATGGTGCATCCCATTAATGTGTCGTAAGTTCATACAACTTATATTGGTCCCTCCTAAGGTATTTCTATTGGTTCTTGTACAAATCTGTAATTGTGTGATAATTTAGCATTTCGACAGCCTTTTTTCAAGCTTTAAGTATAGAGAAAAAAATATATTTTTTAGACTAATTCACAATTTGTACAGGTGTGCACCTGTACAAATTGGATGTCATATGCATGTTTCCATTACTTCCTAATTCTTCAAACATGTATTCTTTTATAAAATTTGTTATATTAAAGTTAATATACTTTACCAAGAAGTATGTCCACTTGTGGATGAGTTCCCTCCACTTCCAAAGTGTCCGGTGAATCCTTTGGTCCTCAAAAAGTTGACAACATCAGCCATTATCTTCCCTTGCTTCTTCTTACCCTCTTCAAGATCTTCTATTTTATTGTTCTGCATTTGTATTTGTTCCTTTTGTGTCTCTATTTGCATCTCAAGGCGCTTCACGTAATCATTTGTTTCAGTATATATGGTAGTGGCTCTCTTAATAGAGGATGAAGGTCTCATGCCAAGTCCCTTCACATAGCCAGACCTTGGCTTTAGGACTTTGATTGATAGCTCTTCTGCAGTCAAAGGGGTTGTTCCCGACTGTAAGAGGTGATCAGCCTGTGTCTGTATCATATTTTCCTATCAAATATAAAAAAAATTAAATAATTATTAGAAAATTAAATAAGATTACAACAAATAGTATTCTAAAATTTTGTTAATAAAAATTGCAATATATACTCACATAATTACACTAAGCTTGAGATGAGATCCACTCATGTGTTTTCTCATTATAGTGAGTTTCCTTGTACAACTCTGCTAGATCAGGTAGCATCTTCTTTTCTCGTGCCTAATTTGATAGACCAAATATTCAATAAATAAAGATAAGAATCTAATATAATTCTGAAAGTGCAAGGATACGTACCAGTTTTTCTACTCTAACAGGGATTGACCTAGAACCACACCTATGTTTTGTATACATCCTTTCTCTGTTCGCGATGTTGGCCTTCGATTGTTCCTATAAGGAAGAATGACCAATATAACAATGAAATGTATCATTAGTAAGACAAATATGTTGGCTTTTGATTGTTCCTGTAAGGAATAATGAACCAATATAACAATGAAATGTATCACTAGTAAAACAAATTTAATGGCTGATAATAAAGAAATTGCATTGTTCCTCTCTATCATTTTCCTATATATCATTTCAACTTAAAAGATATTTCAAATTATTCACTAGTTTCATTCAATTCTGTGAAAAATAAATTAGAGGACTTATTGAGATTTCATCATAAGATGGTTTTTCTGGGTGAAAAAAGAAAAACGAGTAATTTACACCGTTCACAAATAGGGGATATATAAGCATGGGCAAGATAGATTGTGAAAAAATCCATTTACATTTCACAAGATATGGAACAATTACTGATACCAAACTCATAACCCTTTCTTTCTTCCGCAACTCTATCAAATCTAAAGTTCTGTCTCAATACCCTATATTAGTTACTTAGCTAGTTGCTTACCGTTATCATGAAACTTTAGACCAAACCCAAGAACAACCAGAAAAATTAATACAATCATAGAAACTGAAATCTTAGTTCTTTATTCTATGATGTGAAAGATGCACTTTAAGGAACCATAAATTAATCTCCTATTATGCGAGCCTTCCAATCCATGTTGAATAGTTTCCCTTTCTCATTTTTCCACTTATTTGGTTTTTATTATGTTCCACTTACATGCCTAGAAGATAAAGGGAAAAGAATACATATGGAATTTCACAGCAAATTGATTGTGTTCTTTCTAGTTGTTTTAGAATCTCTCCCTATTCTAATCAAATTCTTTCTTCGCTAATATAATAAAAAAGATGAAAATGTTACCAGAAATTCTTTAGTGTTCCACTTTTTATCAATAAGATCTATCCACTTGGTAGGATCGACATTCTTCGGTGGGTGGTTTCTTGCGTACTCCTCCCCTTTAGCCTCCTTCAACTCCATGAATTGTTTGTGCAGCCTATAGGTATTGTTACTCAATCTCCGACCAAATTTTGTGTTCATTGCCTTCTCTATATCAACAGGGTCTCCTTGTAAATCAAATTGATCCTGCAAAAAATAGATAAGTCATAGATAATTCTTATAAAAAATAAAATAATTACAATAAATAATTAAGATTTCTAACCTATTATAAAATGAGTAAAATCTCCTATAAGTAGACAACGAACTTACGTTCAAGCGTTGAAACAGCGCCTCCTTAACGGAGGCATCAACATACTTCCACCTACGAACACTTGGATCTGGTAAACGAGTTCGCACTTCTACACCAATCTTTGAGGCCAGTTTTGAGGCATAGTCCCCTACCGGTGCACGAAATTCTGGAGGGATAGGCACACTAAGCTTTCCATCTCTATCAACAAGGCCTTGAACCTCTTTGCCTCGAGTCGGGCCACGAGCACGCTTAGCAGCTGATATTGTGAAGCCATAATATTGAAATAGTATGTGAACAAATTTAATTAAGATCTCAAATCAATGTAAATAAAGAGTGTGTCTTACCAATAGTATTACCAGCAGTCACCTCAAGTTGAGGCTCCACATTGAGAGGTGGTGGCGGATTGCTAGTCACCTCAGGACGTGAAGAGGTATCCCCCTCTTCTAATGCGTGGGTCAATGCCTCATGATGAGATTGTGAACCGGCTCTCGATGGTATCTCTAACAGCTGAATAACATAATAAAATATGAATATATGTACAAACATATACATGCCTATGTGTGTATGAATTGAAAGTAACAAGAAAGAATATATTTCACAATGCATAAATGTATAGTACCTCATGCTCAAACGAATCATAAGATTCAGTGTCACTGCCATCTTCAGCCTCTGACGGTCGATAGTCATCGTCATTTTCCTCAATTGGTATTTGTTTTTCCTTCCTCAATTTCTTATGTTGAACCGTAGCCTTCAAACAAGTTGTTATATTCTTCAATCCTAGAGCATTCATTCTCTCACGGTTTTTATTAATATTCTTCATTCTTTGTTTCTCATAGTTCGTTACCTTCTTAGTTGCGGTACTTGGTTTGGTCAATTGCTTTTTTGTAGCGTCCATTTTGCCCAACTATAAAGCATAATTGAACATTTTTTTGGTGGATACGCATAATTGAACATTAGATGTAAAGAAAAGATAATTATATATTTCTATACATAAAGCATAAAGCAACAACAATCTCAACAAGTGGATACGTCATATAGGCTCTAAATCATTGAAATATGGCTAGAGTGATATGGATGATTTTTGTTTTTACCATTTACTTATCATAGAACAAATTAATTACAAAGCCATCAGACACACAATATGACCAATCAATGATAAACCTACATAACAGTGGATGAACCCCACAACTGAAATTCAAATACATTAATTAAGAACAATGTTCATATAGAAAGTGCAAAATAACTACAAATCCTAGTCTACATCAAGATCCATATCGTAATCCACATCAGGTTCGTCACACTCTTCATTTTGTTTGTCAGCTCTATTCTCTATCATTGTTTCATCAGATGACCTAACCCTTGTAACAACTTCTGCTTCAACACCATCTCTATAACATTGAACATTAGGGCCGATGTCAATTGGAACAACATTGGTATTATTTTCTTGTTGGAACACATCGTTTTTTTCTGGTTCATGTAATGATTCTCCGGCACCTACCTCTGGTACATCAAAGACACCCCTATGTTGCACTCGTTGAACAACTTGCCAAGGTTGTCCCCATTTGGTATCATCTTTATGCTTTCTCTATAAAATTTATTATTTATCAAAAAAATATCTCGTCGTCACTTTGTTGATGCTGGTGCTTGTCCATCTTGCCTTTTTTGTGCATTGATTGCATGCAACCCCTGACTATCGCTATTATCCTCTTTTGTCAGTTGGGCCGTTTGTTTCAAATGCTTGAAGGTCTTGGTACACAGATAGAGAAAGATGTATTGTTGGATAAGTATAGGAAGCCTGTATTGAATTCTGTATTTATGGAGGAATGGTCTAGTCTTACAAAGAATTTTTTGAAGGCTCTTCCTTACTCTCTTACTTCAAGTCAGTTAACTGCTGTTTCAGAGATTATTTGGGATCTCAAGCGGCCAGTTCCCATGAATCGACTTTTGCAGGTATTGGATTTATATTTTTTTCCCTAACAAATTACATCATTGTTGTATAAAAGTCAAACATACAACCTATTAATGATCTGTTTATTTCGAAGAAATCCATGGAGTCCAAATCATACAAATGATGAGAAAGTGGAATGAAGAAATAAGAAAATATTTTTTTCCCCAACAAAAATAGCGTTTTCCATATAAAAGTCAAACATACAGTCTACTAACAATTTTCGAAAAAAAATACATTATCCCAAAAATTTTGTGTAAAATAAATTCACTATTATTATTTTCTGGCGTTTGGCTGAAAACTTGCAATGCCAAAAATATTTTCTGAAAATTAATTTGTAACCTCTCAGCATCAAAATAACACAAAGATTTCATTTAAATGGCCAAACCTTATGAACCCAAATAGAGATGGCAAAAGAGGGCAACAGAGCGGTTTTTGAACTCCCCATCCCCTAACTGGTTCGGTTTTCCCCAACCCAGACCCATTTTTTTTTTAACTGGTAAATATTCTCAGCAATTCTCATATAAACTATCATTTTTTTTTTTTTTTTGGCAAAAGCCAATGATGAACAAACTAAAAATGCAATTTGATGTATAAACCCATGATTTAGAATAAGGTCAATCAAGCAAGAAGCTTAATTAATCTGTTGAACTAATCATGCTTTTAAAGAAATCAATGACAAACCAAACTATAATGAATTTAACTATTGATTGAATGCTACAAGGAGTTCATCTGTGAGTCCGCCAACCCAAAATCAACAAAACCATGTGGAGAACAGCCCACTAGGAACAAAGTTGTGCTGAGAAACAAATATAAACTCATTCAGACATTTAGCCAAACACCTTCTGTGCATTGTGAAAGTTATTCTTTCAATTATTTTTTCTTCTTTTGCAAAGTATAGAAGGTGGTTTTGATTTTATAATTGTATAAACATAAATATACAAATATTGAAAAAATATATAGACACAAATATAGACATTGTATATCAATATATACACATGCAGATACATACGTATTTAGAGAAAGAAAACACGAAGTAGAAACTTACCTGGCAAGTGAACCACTTTGGTCTTTGAGCGTCACCGCTGGGAGGCCCGCCGCCCTGAGTGAGATAGTGAGGCCACTCTAGCTGTGAGAAAATGAAACAAAAATGAGGTAACCCTAATCTTCTTTACATATATATGGAAACACAGAGTTGGTGTTGACACTATTCTTTGTTTCAAAACCAATCTACAAAAAAAATAAACAAGGCAAACATTAGCATAGAATGTATATATATAAAGTTTATTATAATAGCAAAGTTTTATTATAAACTTAAAGCCAAATATCAGAAACTTAACAAATATACAGAACTGTTCTCAAGATCACAAGCTTGAAGTTATCTGAATAGAAATTAATAGAGATTAACTAAAAAGATGAATACCATGCTCATTCCCACCCATGGGCTTTGCAATGATCACCTTAACATGGCAATTCACTGTATCCCCAGAATTATGCTCGGATCAAAAACTTGGTGTGACCCACGGACAGCAGCCAAACCAGTTATAACACTACAACATCTCATGGTAAGAAACCAGGGCATGCAGCCAATGAGAATGGGAAGGAACAAATATTGTGGCTGCTACACAAATGGGATTTAAAAAAATTTTGAAGAGAGAGAGAGAGCAACAACCTACAATGCAAAAAATGGATAACTAGACCACTAGCTTGGTGAGTTGTGACAGCAATGACCAAAATGGATGTAGATAATAAGCTTATTATTTTTAACATTAACATTAAAAGGCCACGCACAAAATCTAAAAACAGCTCCCTTCTAAATTTAGAAAATAGTACACACTGCTATACGTATTATTTTGTTTTAACATTGACTGCTTCCTTTATTTTATAAAAATGGCATGATGTCCATATGAGCAGCTTCTTTCCATAAAAAAAATTTATTTTTATGTCAATTAATTATTTGTAGACTTAAAAAACATGGTTCCTATATCTTCAAATATGGTGGTCAGGTGACTTTAGATTTCGACATTGATGAGAGACATCACTTAGGATAAACAAGCTTCAGCAATATTGCACAGCCTTTAGAGAGCATCTTTTAAGCACGTGCGCGCACACTTTCACACACACAATGTAATAAACAAAACACACTAGTCTTGAGCTTTATTGTATATTCTTTTGTTTGGTTATAAAATTGCTTATTTACCCAAAATAAATAAATAAACAATTCATAACATATATGTGCACTATTGCATTCCAATTTCTAACTAAACTAGACCTCAAAAGAGTAGAAGAAGCAAGGAAGAAAAACTAATAGCATAAAAAAAATTGAAAAAAAAATAATGATAATACCTTATCAATGCATTTATGGAGAAAACGAAGTTGTTCCAATAGAGGCTCCTTGTCAATTGCCACTGTTCCATCTCTGAATTTACCATTGGGTAAAGATGAACCAACTATCAATCTCCAAACTGTCCCCAAAAATCGATGAACGCCTTCAATACCAAAAACCAAAAATAAAAAGGTGAATGCCAAAAATAATAGCCTTGTCTCTACTAATTTTAGTGGAATGCATCAAGATGGGTGAGCAAATATATAACAGATGTAGAAAAACACACTTTTTCATCGGGTATTCTTTCTTGATGATGCTTTTTCATCAGGTATTCTTTCTTGATGATGCTCTCCGAACACATCAACAGAGTCTGCAGATATGAAATTCCCATCTGAATCTCTGCATGCCATATATTGAACCTGCCACTTAAATCATTAAGAACTAGCAACGGGGAAACATTACTTTGTGACCAAGCAACTGTACTTCCCCTCGGATAATCCCCTGGTTTGAATTAGAACACCAATGTCATAGAGAACCTGCAACAAAGTTTGAATTAGAAGCAATCAAATATATATATATACAGCACCAACAAAAGAAATACGGTCACCAATTTGGTATCAGAAAACAACTGTGGACGGCACCAGGCTTTAATTTACTAGCCAGCCTTTGATCATAGAAGGCCTCGTTTTTTTAATTTCGGCGCTTCCTTCATCACAGTGCTTCTCAAATACGTATCTTACCAATTGGGCTCTCCATCTCCTCAGACTGGCTCAGATTACTATGGTAAATTAACTTTTCTTGAAAACCAGAATACAATCATTACAATCAACCTACAATTTGGCTTGACTCATAACAATCTTTTCATGATAACATCAATTAGTTGTGTTCCAAAAAAAAATGAATATTGCCTATAATGCTGCATGGAAAGGGAGACACCAACCAGAAACAGGGACGCCTCAAAAGACAGTACAATACAATTTGGAGCACAAACCTTGTGCCAGAACCTGGAATAAAGTAAGTGAAGAACAGCATGTTCAGCACCGCCGACATACACATCAACAGGGCTCCAATACCTGCACATGAAAGATGCTAAATAGAACTCTGCATAGCATATAATCATCTCTTAATAGCAAATGACATAACATAAAACAGATCCCCTGTAGGAAACCACTGTAGTGTCAAACTATAGAGATTTGTGTTAGCAAAAGTGGCACTTACATTTCTTTCATCTTATCAACCAACGCTTCGGAATTTTTAAGGTCCATAAATCTCATATAGTACCTGGACAAGAGCAGAATGTAAGATGACTAAGAATCTAATTTATAAAAATAAATAAATAAAAAAAAAAAGGGGGTGTAACTAAAATGAGAATGTTGAGAAAGATGAACAATGTTATGAGAAAATATAAAATAAGGCATAAATGCATTAGGGAAAACATAGAAGTGACATCATAAAATGAGCGGAAGTTGTTTGAAATGGAATGGCCATGTGCAATTTAGACCAATTAACATGCCTGCAAGAATGAGCGGAAGTCTTAGAGGACCTCTTGTCCTCTGTACTTACTTCTTTTATTTAACAAATTTCCTTTTGTTGCAGATCAAAATAAATAAATAATAAAGAGTGATTGCTTCATGTTAAGTGTGCTAAAAAACATAAAAGAAGGCCAAGAAGGACTTGACTGGGACATGGCTTTTAATGAAGCCAACAGTAGAAAAGAAATCCATGTAGTTGACGCCAAGTAATTGGAACAAAGGCTTGTTGAGTTGACGAGTAAAGTTATATTATTTTTCTCTTCTCACACATGACCACAGACTAGCAACAGCTAAAATACTGATGATGCCACCTTCCTAAAACGACAATGATATAAAACAAGATTTTTAAAATTTAAGGTGTTGTTCCTGCTTATTGATACTAAAATTGTATGCACCTTTCTGAAAAGAATAATTTATTTCAGACAGCTCACACATGACTATAGTTTAGATCATACAAATAGCATACAGCTGATAATCAGTAAACTGACATTCAACAAACATGTCACATTATTAAATTTCTCCTTTCCACTTCTGGCAAGTCCAGCATCCACTCTCCTTTCTCTCTTTTGTCAAGTCCAGCATCCACTCACCCATTCAACCAAAGTATGTATTTTTGTGCAGGGCCACACAAGTGGAATATATATGACAGAAGACATTTCTTTCTTCTTTGCTCTTTACTTTGTGTTTTCTTCAACAAACCACCCTCTATATCCCTATGTCCTATGTCCCTCCGGGCATCTCCATGCTTCACTCTCAGGTTTTCCTTTCTATTCAATTCATCTTCCCTGAACTTAAAGTACTTCAATGTTTTTCAGAAAAAAGAAAATTCTGGTAAAAAATACAGCCCACATTAAAAAAAACAAAGAAATCTCAATACCATTGCACCATTGGCACTAATACAGTAAAAATAAATAAATTTTAAAATTTGAAACAACAGATTACCAGCATGAACCAGCCCACTGTGGCATGGTGTTTGTTTCGCGTCTGGCAGGCTTTCCCGACAAAGGATCAGCGGTCACAACCTGAAAATCAATCATCCAAGTTTACATGTATGAATATTAAAATGAAAAGTAGCTAGACAATTACTAACAATTCAGAAATAAATAATATGAGAAGAGCCAGCATGCTGGCTAAATTGGTGTTGAGGGCGTTAATAGTGGACATGTAGTCCAAAGTAACAATAGTTTGTTTGAAAGATAGGTATGACTGAATTTGCAATCCTGCAAATGAGAGCAACTGATCAAATAGGTGTTTTCATTTGCCTACTCATTCGTGATGGCAATTCATGCTCCATACAATTGTAGAGAAGTTACAGAAAAGAAGAAGAAAATTTAAAATCAGAGTAACATCCACTTCAACTTTCTACAGGATTCCAAGCATTTGTTCGTTTTGCAGGTCTTCTCAGCAATCAGACAAAACTAATGACCAGCCAGACAACAATTTTGCCATGAAGAGTTTGATTTTGAGATCTTGGAAATGGAAATTCAAGCACACGTGTGTTTGATTTGAGATTATTTGAACAAAGATGTACACAAGCAGAGAGAGTAAGTGTTTTAGGCAATTACTGACATTTTGACATCCGCAAGTACGAACTCAGATAAGTAAAATACTGCAGGACTCATCTATCCATCTGTTAAACAAAAATGACAAAACAGAAAGGACAAAAAAAGGAAGAACACATCAAGAAACTGCTTTTGAAAGATTTTAGCCAATTATTAACATTTTCACATCTCCAAGAACAAAATCAGGAAGTAATGTAATAAAGAACTCATCAATTCATCTGCTAAACATAAATGGCAAACAGATAAGAGAATAAAGAAGGCAAAACACACCCAAGAAATTGCTTTTGGAAGTGGTGGTTCTCCTGTCCCAGTGGGAGTGAAATCATCCAACTCAGGAAGGGCAAGAGGCAGCTCACTTTCAGGAAGTGGAACACCCTTGCTTGTGTCCTTTAGGAAAACAAATGGGATGGGCTCCCCCCAATAGTGTTGCCTAGCAAAAAGCCAGTTCCTCAACTTGTAATTCACCTAGAGGAAGACAAGTTTCACACAAGATCAATTGTATTGAATGGTAGAAGCTAAAAACACCTCCAAATTCCCTCTCCTGCCCTCTAGAGGGGAAAAGAATGCTTCAGACAAACTAAGAAAAGTGCACCTTTCTAGATAAACAACCACTAAAAGTCACCTTTTTGTTCCCATTTCCAATTTTCTCCACCCATTCAATGACTTTGGAAGCAGCTTCTTTACTAGGAAAGCCATTGATGTCCAGCCCCAAAATTAGACTCAACGAATTTACACTAATACTTTCACCTGAGTAAGGTCTTTCAGAATCACCAGAACTTCCACCATCTGGCATCACAACCCAGCGGATTGGAATATCATATTTCAAAGCGAACTCATGGTCGCGCAATTATTTCTCTGGGCAGATTCTGTCGCAATTGTTGATTGCAATTTCTTTTCTATTAACTTCCTTTTTATTTGATTTCCAAATAGATCGTTAAGGTATATAGTGGTTTCTTGAATGAATTTTTTTCATTTTCAATTTTCTGCAACTTCCATTTATTCTATTCAACTTCTTTTCTGTTATTTCAAGTTTCTTTTATTCAACTTCCTTTTTTATTTTAATTCAAATAGATCGTTAAGTTGTATTGTGGTTTCTGGATTGAACTTCCATTTTAAATTTCATGCAAACTTTCCTTTTATCTTTTTTTCAATTTCTTTTCTATTGAACTTCCTTTTTATTTTTAATTTCCAACATTGATCGATTAAGGTTATTTGTGGTTTCTGAATGAACTTCCATTTTTTAATTTTCTGCAACTCTCCATTTTTATTTTTATCTCTTCATTTTAATTCAAGTTAATTTTTCTGTTCAACTTCTTTTTCTTGTTTAATTTCCAAATAAAACGTTAAGTATACGTGGTTTATTGAATGAATTTCCATTTTTAATTCTTCGCTGGCAACTTCCATTTTAAATTTTTAATATACTTCTATTATTTATTTAGTTACTTTTTCACAAATTCACTTTCTTTTTTTTATTTGATTTCCAAATAGATCGTTAAGGTATAGTGGTTTCTTTGAATGAACTTCCAATTTTTAATTTTTCTGCAACTTCCATTTTTTATTCTCATTATTGCAACTTTCTTTTTTATTTAATTCCAACAATAAATAGCGACGCTATAGTGGTTTCTTTTCGGATAGAACTTACATTTTTAATTTATTCAACTTCATTTTTATTTTTAATTCGATTTCATTTTTATTAAATTTACCTTTTCTATTACGCTTCATTTTTTATTTAAATTTTCCATATAGATCGTTAACGTATAGTGGTTTCTTGAATGAACTTCATTTTTAACTTGACGTGCAACTTCCAATTTTTTATTTTTGTTTTAACCTTTTCCTTTTTTGTCAGTTTGTAAGAACCCAGGGACATTTTTTTTTTTTCATCTTAATCAATGTTATCGAGCATTTGCATGGTAATTAATACCTTGTTAAGCTTGCATGTGTGTGTTGTGACTTTTTTTGCTTTAACAACGTGAGTTTCGTGCCTTGAATTTGAAGCCTTGTGACTTTGTCTAAGCGTGTGTACTTGTCTTGTTCTTCCTTGTGTTAAAACTTAGGTCACGCCTTGCCTCTATGCCGACGTTATTTCAATCCGAGTGTCTTCCTTAGTCTGGCCTTAGTATCTTTGAACCCTTGTCACCTCAGTCCTTGCCTTGACCACATTTAGCCGAGATGTACCTTGGCACCAAGTGATCTCGTCCTGGAAGTGGTATGACCTAGCGAAGGTGTGGCGCATCTAGGCCAATGATGTGGCACAGCTTACTGTCAAGTTGTTGTCGCTTCCTAGCCGAGGTCATTGTCACTTAGTCACGACAGTCTTTGTTAGGCCGATGTTACCTCCCTTGCCGGAGTGCCACTACCGTGTAGCTTGTTAGATAATGCCCTTGTTGTTAGCCCGATGTCATTAGTCTGTCATGAAAGTCCATACGCTTTGCTTGTTGAACACCTCCACATGCTTTGTCTGGCCTGTCAGCCCAACCTTTTCAGGATGAAACCAACCAATTCGCGCCACGTGTCTCTGCATCGACGGGTTAACCCGCAGAACCGGTATGAAAACTATCATTTGGTTCATAAAACTTGCCTTGTAGGAGAGAGAAGCTCTAAGAAGCGGGAGAAGAGTTCTTGAGAGAGAAGTAGATATTTCAAAGCTTGATTCCTAGAGATCGAACCGTTAGATCCGTGTTCTAAGGTTAGATTCTTGATCTGCTCATGATGTTCTTTATGTTTAATGTTATTGCATTGCATGACTTGAAAATGATTCTTGTAAGCCATGCATCGTTTTGAAGCTCGATTCTAGAAGAGAATGACATTCATGTGGTTCTTCAAGAAACGTCTTGGTTTTGATCTCGAAAGCTTTTCGCCTAGATCAAGTTTTGCTGTTCTGTATCTTGCATGATTTCAACTACGGGTACCCAGGTCCATGTTTTCAAAACTCTTAGCCACGAAAATTCAGATTTGTTGATGGCAGATTCGATCAAACATTCGTATTTTTCATGTTTTCACACCATGTCTTCATGTTCATCAACAGAGGGAAACGAGTTTCCCGACCGTCTTTCCTTGGCATTGGCCCTCCGGGAACACACCTCGGCAAGGAAGTGTGGAACCTCGGCTAGACTGGGGTGGTGCCCGAGCATGTTTTCCCGAAAACATTTGTGTAAAGAGGACTTGTTTGAAAAGCGCATTAGAGTAGGCCTTTGCCATGTGTTGTAGGACTTGGGCTTGTCCTCGACCCCGACCGTGTGAAGAAACGATGTGAGTGGATGTTTTTAATAAAGTATGTACACTTGCTTTCTATAAAATCTGTCTTGCCTCGTTTTGAAAAGTCTTGATCTACGACATTATGAACTTCCCTTTGTTGGTATATCAAATGCCTATCTTGTTTTGATGACTTGTCTGTGACAGTCCTTAGTGCTAGAGGGACTCTAAGACTTTCCGCAGCACAAGCTTGTCTTTGACAGTCCTTAGTGCTAGAGGTCTAATAAAACTTGTCGCAGGCACAGCTTGTTTGACAGTCCTTAGTGCTACGAGGATATAACACTCTTCAGCACAGGCTTGTTTGATCAGTCCTTAGTGCTAGAGGACTATAAACTTTCGCAGTGCCCAGCTTGTCTGACAGTCCTTAAGTGCTAGAGGAGTCTAGAACTGTTTTCCGCAGCACACTTGTCTTGAAACTTGTTCTTGATTATGTCATCACCCCTTGAAATAAGTAGATGTTATTAACATCCAAGGAACATGAAAGCCGGCAATAGTTTGAACTTGATTTCCCTCTTGATCAAAAGTTGCTTATGATAATAGTTTTCTGGAAAGAAATCTTGTGATTATCAAATCTATGCAAAACCTTTATTTCTAGTATATTCACTTGAGTATCCAAGCTCAACCTCGTTTCTATATATATGTTAGGTGAGTGAACAAGAA